CATGTGTGGGGTAATGGTGAGGTAGGCTCCTTGACAGAGCTGGGGCTATGGATGAAAATTGAATGTATATATCGATAAACATTTGTTTGTTTGTTTGTTTGTTTGTTTGGAGAGAGAGCACAAGCAGGGACAGAGAACGAGTGAGACCAAGAATTCAAAGCAGGCTCCAGGCTCAATGCTCTTAGTGCAGAGCCCGACATGGGGCTTGAGCTCACAAGCTATGAGATCATGACCTGAGCCAAAGTCGGACACTGAACCAACTGAGCCACCCAGGCACCCCTGTATGTTTGTTTAAATTAGCACAGTGCAGTTTAAAAGCTTCTGGGGTGCCTAGGTGGCTCAGTTGGTTAGGCATCCTACTCTTGATTTTGGCTAAGGTCATGATCTCATAGTGGTGAGATTAAGCCCCTCGACAGGGGCATGGAGGCTGCTTGAGATTCTCTCTCCCTTCGTCCCTCCTGCCTTGTGTTAAATACATAAATACATAAATAAATAAATTTAAAATATTTTTTTAAATAAAATAATATAAAAGCTTCTTTAAGTTCCACCTTCCATATTGCTTACTCTAGGACCTTGGACAAATCAGCTCACCTCCTCGGTGAGTTCGGCCTCACTTTCCTTATCTATAAAATGGAGATTTGGACTAACTTCTTGTTGAAATCCAGTTCAGCATAACATTTTATGATTTTATGTCAATGTAATAATCTAAGTAAAGGAAAGTAATATAAGCACAAGAAAGAAGAAAGCACTGATCATTACATGCTGCTTTCACTAAAATACCTTGTACTCTTGGGCATACTCCCCAGGGGGAGGGAGTATCTATCAGTGCCCTCCCCCTGGGGAACATCACTCCTTCCCCATTGCTCAACCTCCTGACTCTGACACTGTTGCTCTACTCTCAAGGTCAAACAGAAAAGACCACCCTACTAGATATTCTCCTCCACTCCCTGAGAAGCATTCAAATGAGAGCAAAAATGAGTTTGTACGTTGTGGGTCCTTATGGTGTGGTAGCCAGAGCCCCAGACTAAGAGTAGTCAGACCACCGGTCCCCATCCTGGTCCATGACTAGTTCCCCGAGTGACCTCGGACAAGTCACTTCCCCTCTCTGGACCTAGCCTTGTCTAAAAAGGAGGAATTGGATGGGTTTTTTCTTTATGAGTCCTGCTCTAATATTCCCCTGCTCTACCCTACCCTGGCTACCAAGGCTGGGAGAAGCCAGAATCTGTAGGTTGCAGCATTTCTCCAGCCACTCTCAGAAGCAGCAGACAATCTCCAGCATCCCCAGCAGGCTGGTACCAAAATGGCACAGCTAAGTATCTGCACTCAGCATGAAATCAGTTAAGAATCACATGGTCAAGCAGCTGAGGACCCTCCAGCCAGGGCACACTGTCCCAATCCAAAGGTGGATTTAGCAGCTCTACTCCCAGATGCTCTCTTACTTGTAGGATGAGGACATAAAGACATCCAAATGAATCAAAAACATGAGCTTTAGGGACCAGACTAGGCCAAGGAACAGAGTGAAAGATTCCTTGTTTGTTAATACATGGTTTTAGTTAAGATATAACAGGCCTACAGAAAAAAAATGCACATAAAGAGGTATGGCTTTTCATAAAGGATGTATCTGTGAAGTAAGTGCCCAGATCAAGAAACAGAACAATACCCACCCCATGGGACCTCCCTCATGCCGCCTTCCAGTCACTAGTTCTTTCGGAATAACCACTATTCTGACTTCCAGCACCATTGATTTATTTTGCCCATTTTGAGCTTTACCCAAATGGAATTATACAGTACGGACTCATTTGCACCTGGCTTTCTTTACCCAACATTAGGTGTGTGAGCCTTATCTATCAGTATGGGTAAAAATGAAAAATGGTGTGGCTTGCTTTCATTTTTGCACAGGAAGGACTGAATGAGGAGCTAAATCAGTAAGACATCCTTGAGTTTAGCCTAGGGTGCTCACTGACAGCAGAGGAAGCAGGTTTACACGCACCTCTCCCCAAAATAAGCATGACCCAACAACTCTGTTCTTCCTGCAGAGTCCCACACCTCCCTCTTGGGGGCGCTCCAGAGGTGGGAGGCAGGGCCTTGGTGTCCCAAATATACTTCAAAGGCCAGAAGTTCTTGTTCATCGAGCACTTACCCTGTGCCTGGTTCCATGAGGGTACCATAGACTTGGCATTTCACTTGATTCCCACGAACATGGACTAGGTACTGTTATTATTTCTATCTTATGGGTAAGAAAACAGAGGCCCCAGAGAGGTTGAGTAAGCTGTCCTAAGGTTGCACAGCTAGGAAGGGGACCCAAATCTCAATATGTGCCAAACCTTTCCACCACTCTGTGTTGACACAAAGCTCACTGGCCACGTGTCTAACACCTATGTCTCTAACCTCATCTAGCACTGCTCACCTACAGCTCAAGTTTCAACAGCTCTGGGCCTGTGTCCATGTTGTTGCCTTCGCCTGCACCTTTAGCCCTCAGTTCTCAAATGGATAGTCACTTCCTCAGAGCAGCATTCCCTGACCACTTGGTCTCAACTGTGTCCCCTATTCTGTCTCAGTGCATCCTGTTCTCTCCTTGCACAGCCCTTAACACATGCCATAATGAATTATGCTCTTGGTTCCCCTGTTCACTGGTTTAGAGCCTTTGTCCACCAGTGGATCATAAGCTGCAAAAGGACAGGAATGCATCTGCTGGTTTGCCACTACCTTGGACAGTGCCTGGCACAAGGAACCTCTTCAGAAGCATGATAAGTGAAGAAAAGGAGGGGAGGAGAGAAAAAGAGGACTGCCCCTTCTGAATCTCAGCACTCATCTGCTGGCAGGTCTAGTTCCAGCCTGTTTATGGCCCCTGGCAAGATCTTCCCCTCTCTGAGTCTCAGTTTCCTCAGTTTTCAGATGAAGAGCCTGGAAGAAAGGATCTCTATAAGCCTTCTAGCTCATCTGGCCTCTAGACCACAAATCCTAGGATTTCAAGCCATTCCAAAGGCCTCAGGCCTCTTCAGCCTCTTACCTACCCTGTGTCCAGTCAACCCTTTTGAAATGAGGGGGAGTCATCCAAGGTTCCCAGGCTGTGAGGTACAGGCCCTCCACCCTGCTATACGTGAAGGACCAGAGAAGAGGCCTCTTCCAGTTCTTAATAAAAATTTTTTTAATGTTTATTTATTTTTGAGAGAGAGAGACAGAGCGTGAGTAGGGGAGGGTCAGAGAGAGAGGGAGACACAGAATCTGAAGCAGACTCCAGGCTCCGAGCTGTCAGCACAGAGCCCAATGCGGGGCTCGAACCCATGAACTGTGAGATCATGACCTGAGCCAAAGTCGGACGCCTAACCGACTGAGCCACCCAGGTGCCCCAGGCCTCCTCCAGTTCTAATAGCCCTGATGTACAAACTGGGGAGACACGGGACTAAGAAGGAAGAATAGATGAATTCCCCCAGGAAACTGCTTCTACTTTCTTCCTCAGAGCCCCCGCCCCAACAAGGTCCCATCCAACTCTGGCCTTGGCATGTGCACGGTTGCCCCTATGGCCAGGCTGAACGTCCAGGACTGAAACTGTACATGTCTTGCTCATATCTGTACCCAGAGCACTTGGCACAGACCCCCATAGGATGTGGCCAAGGTGAGGCTACCAAATCAAATGCCACGGGCAAGGCCTGCCAGAGTCTGCTGCTGAGCTTGCCACTTTCTCCCTTGTATCACCAAGGGCAGGAGAAGCACCTGGCTTCCCATTCAGAGGCAGACTCCAACTGACCACCCTCCAGCCTCCGGCCCTCTGTCTTCTTCCCACCCCTTCACCCCTGGATTGCCAGTGGCAGCCGGCTCAGGCAGAAGGCTGAGGACCCATTCCCCTCCAGGGTCTCTGCAGTCTTTGCTCCCCCACCCAGCCAGCTAGTCAGTCAGGACAAGCACTCCCTGGACTTGAAGTAACTGCACCTTCCTCTTGGAGTAAGGCTCCTCTGGCTTTGAAACTCTTTCAATTTTGTCTTTAAACATAAAAGAAAGTAAGAGAATTAGGCCTGACCCAAGAGCTCTATAAAGGGGAAAGGCCTCCTGTGTTGCATCGTGGATACAGCAAAGGCCCTAAGCCCCCAAGTTTTTACTCTGCTGGGTGTGTGAAGGGGTGAGGCTTGGTGTACCGGTAAGCATATGTGAGTGTGTAAGTGCCATGCTCATTGGAAAGGGCATGACAGGTGTGAGGGTGCAAACTGGACTGGCCAGACCTTGGCCGCGTCACTCGCTGGCTGACCAATTTCAGGCAACTTGCTTAAACTCTTTGGGCCAGTTTCCTCACTTGCAAAATGAGAATGAAATGAATTCCCATCTCTTGCATTGCAGTGAGAATCCAACCCTAGGGCTGGTGATCTGTAATCACTAAAAAACTGTTTAAATATTAGCAGATTCTGGAAATGGAAGGCAAGAAGAGAGCTTGGGAAATCTTCATTCCTTTCTGAAGAGTAACTACTTTCAGATATCAGGACTTATCCCTGGCTGCATTCTAGATTTAGCAAACCTAAAAATGCACCCAATAACTCAGATCCTAGGAACCTTCGTGACGAGGCTCGCGTACCCTGTTACTCAACGTGAATCCATTTTCAGGAGGATTACTTCACCTCCCATTCAGGCACTGAGCTTATGAAACAAAATCCTGAGAGCCATGGAGAATCCTAAGTGGGACTCAGAGAAGAAAACCAACAGACCAGATCTCAGTCCAGAACCTGGGAGTGGCTTTGTGAGAAAAGTAACAGATGAAGCGAGAAGCATTTAGACTCACCATAACTGTCAGCCAGGCTATACTGAAAACCTAGAGCTCAAGAATTCTAGTCCCTTAGGCCAGCAAGTCTTTATTTCCACAGAGATGACTGTTTGCAGAGCTGCACATGAAGGTGAATGCCTCAGGATTGTTTTTAAAGTTTCCCACGAGTCCTGTGACAAGCCCGTGCCTACAAGATCAAGTGACAAGTGTTCCAGGAGAGGCACCCCCTCCACCTCTCCCAGCCTCTTACCTCCCCAGCTCCTCTCCGATGTCATAAAAGTCCTCCACCTTCTGCTGCTTGAATGTCTCCATGTTTGGGCTCTTCATTGAGGCCTGGAGCATACAGCCCTGAAACGGGAGGAAACAGGAGGTCAGGACAGCCATGAACACTGGTGGAAGCCTCAGAGTCTGGGCCTAAAAGTAATCAGCTTGCAAGGAGCTAATAATTTAACAATAATCCACAGCACTGGTTCCTTAAGAATTGCCCTGCTCAAGCAAGCCTTTTCTCACCAATGACTGACAATATACGGTTCTTTTTTTTTTTTTTTTTTTAATATTTATTTATTTTTGAGAGAGAGATAGAGCACAAGTGAGGGAGGGGCAAGAGGGAGAAGCAGGCTCCAGGCTCTGAGCTGTTGGCACAGAGTCTGATGCAGGGCTCCAGCTCATGAACCATGAGATCATGACCTGAGCTGAAGTCAGACGCTTAATGGACTGAGCCACCCAGGTGCCCCTATACGGTTCTTATTTGATGTATACCAATTCAAATTTGTTAAGGAGATAGAAAAAGAGCCCTCCTCACTTCTTCAGATCTGCTCTGAATAAATTCAGAGAAACAACACCATGGCCAGCTTCGGCAATTTGTACTCATGAAATCCAGGTCTACTGAGAAAAGAAGCAACCATAAGACAGGAGAGAAAGCCCTCATCTTTGAGTCAGAAGTTCTGGATTCAAGTCCCAATTGCCTGGATAAGTCATGTAAACTGCCAGAGACTCAGTTTCCTCATCTGTGAGATGTGTTAATACTATTTAATGCAAATCATGAAATTATTTTGTAAACTATAAAATGCTGTAAAAAGGTAAGGGATTATCATCACCTCAGTTCCCTCAGGGGCTGTGCCACCCAACTGCGAGTCTGAACCGATTTATAAACTCTCTCACTCATCACCCCAAGGGAAAGATGGACGGGAGTGGTGTGACAAATCACAATAAGCACCAGGAGTCAGGAGCTAGAGCTTCTAGTTCCAATTCTGCCCACAACTAGCTCTGTGACCTCATCTCTTGTCAGAGGAGCCTCAGATTCCTCATCTACAAAATGGAGCCACCTGCTCGCCCAGATCACCTCAGTAAGAGCCAGAAGACAACTCTGAGCCATGGGGAGTGTTCACCACTACACCAGAAGAGACTGTATGCATCCTACCCTGGGATCCCCCTGCCCCAAGAAGCCCCACCCATTCTTGGAGTTCCATATGCCATCCTGGACAGCACCCCAAGGGCAGGGCCCAGGACACAGCCTGCAAATGACAAAGATAAAACCAGCTGCCTGTGGATGTGTCTTTCGAGAGTCATTAGCAAAGGCCTCTCAGAGCTCATTTTGGCTAGAGTTGGCAGCTTTTCTTCTGCCTGCCAATCAGATACCAACCACGCCCAGGGCCCCATGAGCCCCAAAAGACTGTTTTCACCAAGCTGGGTGGAGGCACCATTACATAAGGGTGAGTCTCATCAGTGCCAAGTGGCTGGAGCTGTTCCAACTCTCAGAAAATGTATACATTTCACCCTCTTTCATCCAATGCTGCCCCCTGCAAACCACAGCTCTATTACTGAGATGCAGCCTGCCTCCCTCCCTTCCATGGAGCACACATCCCTGAAGACCCCCAGGCAGAGCTGGCCTGGCTCCCCAGCCTGACTCTCCTGGTCACCTGCCGACCTCCTGCCCTGTCAGTGCACGTGGTCCATCGGGCATCCTCCTCCCTCTTCGGTCTTCACCTTGTGCTTGGCCTGAGCCCAGCAAGCATGGAATACAAAAAAGGGCAGGCTCCCAGGAGCCCCAGTTGTAGACTAGCCTGGGTGTGTATTAGCTGTGTAACCCACACAGGCTGGCACCATCTTTGGGCCTCAGTCCCCTCATCTGTAAAAGGGGCTGATAACATCCATATCACCTACTTCACACAGTCCTGAGGGGTGGGGTTACTGAGTTCACACAACTAAAGAAAAGCAGAAAACTCCAAGAATTTCTGTTGATAGATACACTGAGAGCAGCCCCTGGAACAGCTAAGATCCTCCATTTGGCAATAGGCCACCTATCAGGAGCTGAGAGGGGTTCGAAGCAACCCCAGCTCCCCAACAAAATCATGAGCCCCTGCCTTGGGCTCCAGGGGTAGCCAGGGGCTTGGGGGCAAGGGAGCCCCCTAAGGACAAACTAGGACCACCAGTTTGGCTCCAACTAACGTTTTGGCCTTATCTCCCTCCCCCCACATACCTATAGTATAGCTAAAGTAGACCTTTCCCTTTCCCCCAAAACTTCCACCCTTGCCATGCCTCAGCTCAACCTGGCCCCTTTCCATGGAAGGCCCACCTGGAGAGCCTCCCTAGGAAAACAGCTCTCTTCCCACAAGACCTAGCTCAAATGCTACCAACTCTGAGGCTCCATGACCCTTTTACTCATCAAAACAAATTAAAACCCCCTTCTCCCTTTCAGTTCCCAGAGAGGTCTCATCATACATTTTTAGGGTTAGAGCTTTCGTATTTTGGCTCATAACTGTCTATGTCTAACCCAGAAGGAGAATTCACAGATTCCATAGTCACACCTGGGTTTAAACCCCAGCTCTACAACCTCTGCACACATTGAGCACAGGACAACTTTTCTAAGCTTCAAATTACTTACATGGAAAATGAATCTGGACAATGCCTACTGTTGGTGACTATGTGGAGAAATCAGAACTCTCAAACACTGCCAGGAGAAGCACACTCTGGGACAACCACTTTGGAAATCTGTTGGGCAGTTTCTATGGACATCCGTAAGGGAAATGCATGTAGATCCTTCCAAAATGGCCCATGTCAGAATGTTCACGGCAGCATTATTAGTAATAACTAAAAATTGGAAACAACCAAATGGCCATCAATAGAAGAATAGATACGTAAATAGAGTTATACCCATGCAATAGAATTATTACACAACAATGAGAATAAATAAACTACGGCTACCTGCAACAACATAGATGAAACTCACAAGCCTAATAATGTTGAATGAAAGAAGCCAGACAGAAAAGATTACATACTGTGTGATTCCACTTAGGCAAAACTCACCTGTGGTGCTAAAAGTCAGAATAGTGGTTACTCCTGGGTAGGAGGTGATGTCTAGGACTCAAGGGGGGTTTCAGGGTACAGGCAATGCTGTTTCTTGATCTGGGCAGTGGTTACATGGCTATGTGGTATGTACACTTACTTTGTATACAATCAAAATTTTACATAATAAAATATGAGACTAATATCTACTTTTGGACAAAATGAGATATCATACGTAAAATGTTTTAAGTAGTGTCTAGATGGTTCCAACAAATATGAATTCCTTCCCTCCTGCCTACTGTCTTGGAGCCCCATGAGGGCAGTGGTGGTGACATTCTCACCTCTGTCCCCTTGTAGCAGCTGGTAGACAGCAGGTGCTCCATAAATGTTGGTTGATTTAAATGTAGTGGCTCAGGCTCCATTCTCAAAGCCACCGCTCAGATGCTTCAAGTTAAAATAACCAATAACAACTTAAAGCCTCTTCCTGATATCTCTCCCCAAGATGAATTTGTATTTTATCAATTTTCTCCATGTAGGAACATGAACTAAAGGGGAGAAACTCTGAGGTGGAATTATAATCACCAGTTAGGACCCAGAAAAGGCCCCAGGGCACAGGAACCTTTCGGGCCCTGAAAAGATGAAAGCACACGTCAGAGGGGAGGGACACAGCTACAGCTTTTGGTCAGAGGCACAGGCCATCAGCTCTAGACATTTCCAGGATGAAGCCCATCTTAATGCCCACATTTCTCTTAATGGAATCGCTAGAAATCATACTCCTGCCCCCAACCCTAATAATAAGCAACACTTCTGAGGGTTAACACAGATTTCCTAGAACCTCACAAAAAGGGACCTCAAAGATCATTTAGGGGATTTTTAAACTCTGCTTCAGGAGCCACCGGCATGAGGAAGGGGAGGCACAGCAGTTCTACTTTATATTGTAAGTTAGGGCTCTGTGTAAGAATTCATGGCGGTCGGGGGGG